AAAAATCACCACTTAAAAATATAAGAAGTGAAAATCATCCATAGTATTATATATCATTATATTATATGTTCTCATACTAGTATATAATCAGAAAAGTAGACAAAATGGTTAGTGGTAGAGAATATCACGCATGCCTTTTCCACTTTCCACCTGCCACCAGCACACACATGCACTAATGTTAATATTAAATAATATAGAATAATAATAATAATTGAAAAGATGATGGGAAGCTCATCATTTCGGTGGGTGCTGTTCTTGTAGGGTTTTAATAATATTAATAAAATTAAAGGAGAAGATAAAAAGGCAGAGATCATCTTATCATGTTTTGTGGGTCTGATCTTTTCTCTCCTTCAGCCTCTAACCGTTCCAGTTACATGATAGCCAGAAGTCATTTATTATAAGCCAAGATGCCTGAAAGCCAGATGCCCCAGTAACGCGTACTTTGCTCGATTCAGGTTTCTGATCCATTCCCAGGGATGAAGACTGAAGCACTGGTGGAACATAGTGTTAGTCTGCCTTCACGTTTGTCTGCTTCCTTGAGTGATAATTTCATACACAAAAGTGGATGAACATGAACCTCTAGATAGTCATCAAGAATTCTTTTTCCTTCTTTTTGTGCCGTAGCCCTTTATCTGCTTGGATTGCTGGCTGCGGACCCTCTTTGTTTTTCAGGCTCGCTTATTTGCTTGATGGGTCAAAAATGGAGTCAAAGCTCTCTGAGTTCCTCCAAGGCACAAGATAAGGCAGCCTTGGTGAGGTTTTGACGTGCTCGCTGCTTGCTTTTTCCCTTCACTGCCCCGCGTTGAGCTTCTGGTTTTGTTAATTTGCTGATCAAAGCAACTGACTTTGTACTTTGGGAATGACTCAACCACAGAAGAGTGAATTGTAGAGCAAAAAGAAATCAGCTTGATTTGAAGCCAACTTGTACTTGATGGGGGCTGACTGGTCTGATCTTCCTTAAGAACTTGTTTTGTTGGGTTTGTGTTTTGAAGCTATAGAGTGACACAGAAGCTATATTGATACACAGAAGAGCATGAGGAACTCAATCAAACCCAAGAAAGAAAAGCAATGAAGCAGAGTGTTTCGATCGAATATCCCAGCTGGTATTTTAGAGATATTCGTGCTGATAACGTGTTATAAAACTAAAGAGATTGAGCAGAGAATTTAGAGAATTCAAATAGTGATAGAAATATTCTTCTGATATTTTCATTGAGTCTTTCTCTATATATATCTCTCTACAAATGAGGAGGATGC